AGCAGCTGGGAAAAAAATCAGGCCGGGTGTTTACATAGAAACTTTCCCCAGAAGCGCAAAGTAATTTAGGGACACTCACTAAGTAACTTAATTAAGTCTGCCAGGCCTCCTCCCCACCCCACCCCACCTGTTCAACAGCCAGGCTGGGGTCGGGGAGAGGAAGGGCTGCACGTGCTCACAACCACAAGTGCAAACACACTTGCTCACAACCACAAGTGCAAACACACAGACAGACACTCGAGGCCACCCCTCCTGGGAGGCTGTTTGGAGAGCGATGAACTTTGGAGCATTGGTGCTGGCTCTGGAAATGTGGAAATGGATGAAATGCATGCACAACAGGCACCTTTCCCTTCGTCTTTTCCACACTGAGTCTAAAAGAGACAAAGAGAAAGATAGCACGTACTTTTCGTCCCAATGTGCAAATAAGTTTCTATTGTGAGCCACAGGAACTCGTTACATGCTGTGGCTTTCCAGCTCTACCTGACACACCTCCTACTACTGTATCACATCACAAAGAAAACTTTATGAAATCCTTTAAAATGGGTGCCAATATGTTTGGCTTTTCTCCCTTTGGAATTCCTGTTCCTACTGATCCACATTAAAGACATATTCTCTACCCAATTCTTTTAGAAGCAGGAACTGGGAAGTATTCTTTCAGCAACCCTCCTGCTGGCAGGCCTGGTGGTCTGGTGTGGAGACCTCTGCTGTCAGGCTGGATCAGAGGGCCGGCCCCAGCAATCCACCAATCCAGGGTCATCGGTTTTTCCTAAACTCACAACCTAACTCAAGCCCCTACTGTCTCCGAGCACTGCCTGAAAACACTAAGCAATTCTGAGCCCCTTCCATGGAGAGGCCTTTTCAAGTTAGGACCCTTACGGGGTAAAATGTGCCTTAAAGAGCTGTGCTTACATGTCTCAGGGCCACTTCGCTCTCTGCTGCTCCCCAAAAAAGCAGGAGTGTGCATCTGCCACAGAGCTGGGCAGAACTTAGGACCACTTGGTGGCTGGGGGGAAGCCACTAGCCACATAGGAATAAGTCCTCCACTTAAGCGTCCCTGGCCTCTCATTACTCACTGGGGAGACCCATCACAGGAAACCACAGCCGAAGGGAAAAAGAAAGCTGCCCCCAACCTTGAACCTCACGGAAAGGTGACCAGGCCAGGAGTCCGCTGCCAGCTGTGCCAGCTGTGCCAGCTGCCACAGGTGCATTGTCCCACACAAAAGTAGAGACTGCAACCTTCTGGGAGAAAAAAAATGAAAGCACTCCTAACCTTGTCAACGACAGGAAAGCAAAACAGTTTGGGAATTTCCAATTCAGAGCCATTCTCGCCAATTTAAGATACATTAAAAGCTTGAGACAACTTTCTAGTAACAGAAAGCCCTCACAATCCTTCTCAGGACAAGCAATACCACCAAATGCTATAGCTGCTTTTAAAAAATAGTTCACTTAAGGAAAACAGACTTTAAAAGTTAAGTATTCAGCCCAAGGTCTACCAAAAAATGAATGCTAGGTGACAAATGTGGGCTGCACATGAGTTGAGGACGTGCCCATTCCTGTCATTACACCCTTGGTTCTAGAATCCAGTGTATTGTATCTCAGGCCCAACTTAATTTCCAAGTGGAAAACATGCATTACATTACTTTCATTAAACATCTTTAAATGTTCACGTTTGAAAAACTACAGTCTTTTTCTCCAAGTGGCTTTGAAGGACCTCTTAAATGTGTACAAATCTTGCTTAAAGTCGTAATCCAATTGAAGGACGTTTTAATCTCTTTGATGAAGCAATAGCTTTGTACCGTGAAATTAATCTCTCGGCTCTAATAAATGTGGCATGAAGTGGACATCTAAAATGGAATGGAAATTTCTGCGGTTTTTCTCGCAAGACCTTAGCAAATTACTAAACTTGGACTTTTTGGGACCGAGCACAAATTGGAATAATCTGATAATAATTTAATCCACGATTCGCTGCACACTTATGGTGCTGACAATACTAGAGACATTGTTTCAGTAACCAAGTGACTGAAAGTAAGCCCATAACTATATGCTAACGAAATTATTAAGCAAGTGGAAATAGAAGAGATGGTCCTTCCGAGACGTACCGTGTTTCCCTGAAAATAAGACCGAGCCGGAGAGGAAGCCCTAGCGTGATTCCTCCAGGATAGGGCACGCACCCCTCACATGAGGGTTTTATGACTGTTTCAGGGAGAAGGGTGCCTTTTCCACAAACTCTTTCAGCTTAAAATATTCACTATGCCAAGGTGCCATATTTTGGCACTTAAAATCATGCGAAGGCTTATTTTCCGGCCAGGTCTTATTTTTGGGGAAACAGGGTCTATCCGAATTGAAGAATCAATGCACACAAATGTGAACAAGATACTGGAGACATTTATAAAGTGTGTGGAGGTGAGTGCACCCAGCATCCACCTCCTGAAGGACAAGTGACCCCTCTGCACTTTGTTTAGCAAGAACAAGGGAAGATGGTACAGCGGCACACCAGTCGGAAGCCTACTTTCCCCAGTGTTCAAGTTTAAAGTTCTAACAATCCTTCCTGGTTTCTCTCACTTTGGTGTTATCTAGGCCTTCTTCGTGAATGTTAGCCACAAAATGAGGGACCAGGGGTCCCATTCTAGGAAGCCATGCATTGTATGACATTACAGAAATGGCCACATAGGAGTCAGAAAGAGCTGTGTCACCTTGGGCAAGTGTCTTAGCCTCTTCAGGTCTCCGTTTACTCATCTGTAATATAGGGAAAATAATAGCTCTTTTGTAGAATTGTGAAAATTCAATAAGATTGTTTGTAAAGTCTTTGGCACTATGCCAGTCTCAGGACTTCCTGGAGTCCATATGTGAAACATACTGGTTTGTCATCTAACGTCAAGTACACTCAGCACAAAGGTGGAGTCATCAGGAAGTATATTTGCCTCCAAGTTCTATACTTTGTATTACCAACGCCTCTCTGCCAAGTATTTATATGAGGCAAAGATGCCATGAGCAGAAGAGGAAGATCAAATATGAGACAGATTGACTCCATAAAAGGAGCCACTGGCATGAGTCCACGGGAGCTGAGCAGGCTGTTAGGACAGGACACTGTGGACATCACTCATTTATAGGGTCACTCATTCATAGGGTCACCAGGAATCTCAACTGCACCTAGTAACACAAAGATGTCATCCACGGCTCCTCCGGAGTCAACGTTACGGGGCTTCCGTCCCCATCCCCTCTGGGAGTGAAGCTAAGCCAACACAACCCGACAGGTGCAAGAGAAAACGAGCGCCAGGCACACGATTCGGCTAGCTCCTAAACCAAGCCCCGCG